TGCCTTACACAATCATACTAAACTTATCATGTTTCACAATCAGCAATACGTAAACAAAGAATTCAAACTTATCGAATCAAATAACAAGTTCCAGTCACTGACAGTCAATTTTACTTATATTTTCGACCGCTCTAGTCTATTTTTATTTTATTTTGCAGCAAAAGAAATAACTTTCTTGATGCTAATCTTTTACAAGGCACACACACGTGCCGACTAGCTACTTAAACTTAAAAAAAATTAAGGTCCTCAAAACAAAAATTCAACCAACTTGCCGACTTAATACGTAAAAAAATCGACTATAACTTGAAAATCACCTTCTTGGGGAAAGGGAGGTACCCTTCCCCCCACACACACACACACCCCGTAAAATCATCTCTGCATATTTGTAATATTCTCATTTAAATTTTTGAATATTGTTTTGATTATTATTATTATTATTATTATTATTATTATTACTGTTATTGTTATTATTATTATATGTATATATATATATATATATATATATATATATATATATATATATATATATATATATGTGTGTGTGTGTGTGTGTGTGTGTGTGTGTGTGTGTGTGTGTGTGTGTGTGTGTGTGTGTGTGTGTGTATATATAAAAATGAATGAAAAAGTTGCTGACCCATACCAAACCCTCAGTCGATGTAGCAGCACTCTACTGCGAGTCAGGCTATTTGTCAGTTGATGTATGTACTGAAGCCCCCGGCAGCAGGCTATTTCAGTATGATGTCATCATGCTCACCTAACTCAGCAGTATAAGATATATACATATATATATATATATATATATATATATATATATATATATATATATATATATATATACATATATATATATATATATATATATATATATATATATATATATATATATATATATATATATATATATATATATATATATATATATATATATATATATATATATATATATATATATATATATATATATATATATATATATATATATATATATATATATATATAATATTTTCCCATTTTTGTAACAATTGATACATATACAGCAAAAAACATTGACAACAAAAAAGTATTGAAGAAACGTATCATTAATCAAAATAACCTTAATTTATTCAAAGACCAACTATCCTTACTCCATTGGAATAATATTAACATAAACAATAATGCAAACGACATATATGAAACTTTCTTCAAAACTTTCTATTCTGTATATGACGCTAACTTTCCTGTAGTTGAAATAATAGCAAAACCTAAGAGTTTGAATTCTCCTTGGATTACCAAGGGGTTTAAAAAATCTTCCAAAATCAAACAAAAGTTATATATAAATTTTCTAAAAACAAAAACAACTGCAAACGAAAAAATTTACAAAAACTATAAATATTTATTTGAGAAAATTCGTAAAAACTTAAAAAAAAAAATATTACTCGGAATTACTTAACAAATTCAAATATAACACCAAGCGCATTTGGGAAATATTGAAGGAAATTATAGGAAAACAAAAATCATGCTTTGGTTTTCTGCCACAAATGATTAAAATAGAAAACACTAGCATATTTGGACCAAACGCTATATCACATGAATTTAATAAATTTTTTACTTAAATAGGTCCTAAACTATCAAATAAGATTCCTATCACAAGAACTTTGTTTAGTGACTTTTTATTATCCTTGGAGAAGTGCATATGCTCTGATGAGCTATCCTCTGATTTATCAATTGAAGAACTTGAAAAGGCGCTCAAATCTATTAAAAAGAATAAATCATGTGGACCAGACGAAATAGATGGAAATGTGATAATAGATTGCTTTAAGCAACTAAAAGATGTTCTTTTCAAAGTTTTCAATGCCTCAATTAAACAAGGAATCTTTCCAGAACAATTAAAAATTGCCAAAGTTACACCTATTTATAAAGATGGTGACCAATCCTAAATAACTAATTATTGCCCCATCTCTGTGCTGTCTGTATTTTCAAAAATCTTAGAAAAAATTATGTACAACAGAATATATAAACACTTTGACAAAAATAACCTACTCTATGTTAATTAATTTAGTTTTAAAAAGGATAGCTCAACAGAGCATGTAATTATCCAACTTGTAAATGAAATTTCAAAATCGTTTGAACAATCAAAATATACATTAGGTATTTTTATCGACCTATCGAAGGCCTTCGATACGGTTGACCATCACATCCTACTCAAAAAACTGAAATACTATGGAGTAAATAACCAAGCGTTAAGGTGGTTCAGAAGTTACTTAACAAATAGAAAACATTTTGTTGTTGGTAATAACAACTATCACAACAATTGTTTAAGTATAACCTGTGGAGTTCCACAAGGTTCAATTCTCGGACCTCTCCTTTTTTTAATTTATATAAACGATTTAAATAAAGCAACTAATCTGATGAGCATCATGTTTGCTGATGATACTAATTTATTCATCTCTAAGAGCGATATTAGCGAACTTTTTGCCACAGTGAATAAAGAACTTAAACTTTTATCCCACTGGTTCAAATCCAACAAATTAACTTTAAATACTGACAAAACTAAATGGACTCTTTTTCATTCGAATAAGAAAAAATAACTTTTACCCTTAAACTTGCCTCCAATCTTTATTGATGAAATTGAAATAAAAAGAGACTCCGTTATTAAATTTTTTGGTGTTTATCTCGATGAGAACATTAATTGGAATCAACATATTAACTATATATGCACTAAAGTCTCTAAAAACATTGGAGTTTTGTACAAAGCTCGAACTTATCTCAATAAGAAACACTTAAGGCAACTTTATTTCTCATTTATTTACTGCTACATAAACTACGCTAATATTGCCTGGGAAAGTACTGAAAAAAGTAAATTACTTTGTCTTTATCGCTGTCAGAAACGAGCAATTCGCATAATTAACTTTGCTGATCGTTTTTCTCATTGTAAACCTTATTTTATTGAGATGAAAATTTTAAATGTATTTGAACTCAACGTTTTAAAAATTTTATGCTTTGTTTATATGTGGAAAAACAATCTATCCCCCCCAGTCTTTAAAGATTTTTTTAGTTTAAAACCCAGCAACAAATACACTCTTAAAAGAAAAAAAATTTTTAACGAACCTTTTTGTCAAACAAATTTTAATCAATTTTGTCTTGCCTATCGTGCACCGCACCTATGGAATAAACTTGTTTCACCTAATGTTGATTTTGATCGACCAAATTCTTTTTGTCTTTTTAAAAACAAAATTAAAAATCTAATTTTTTCCCTCGATAACATTTTAGAGTACTATTAATTAATTTATCTATTATTTAAATTTTTATTATTTTTTCCCTAAAGTTTTGTTGTTAACAACTATTTATATTTAAAGATTTGCTAATGTAAAAGTTCTATATATATATTTTACTTTACTGTAACGTATACTTTACAAGGTATTCGTAAATTATATTGTTTATAAATGTTTTTTAAGGTTTCGATGATAGGATCTTAGAGATCTTCTTTCGGAAACCTAGTTTACACTGTTATCACGATTTGTATATATATATTTGTAAAGTAATTTTAATAGTTTATTGTATTGTAAAACGATTAACTTAGTAAGCTGAAAAAAATATATATATATATATATATATATACATATATATATATATATATATATATATATATATATATATATATATATATATATATATATATATATATATATATATATATATATATATATATATATATCATCTATATATATATATATATAGATGATATATATATATATATATATATATATATATATATATATGTATATATATATATACATATATATATATATATATATATATATATATATATATATATATATATATATATATATATATATATATATATATATATATATATATATATATCATATCATCAGAAAGCCCTTAAATACAGAATTTTAATGATGAAAAAATTATCAAAATCGGACAATCCTACAAAATGTTATGCGATTTTTAGTAGCAAATTTTTGATATATGGATTTGTTGAAGAAACTGTGGTCAAAATTTTGTTTTCTTCACTAAAACTGTTATAACTTTGTCAATTCTTATTCAAATGCCTATATATTATAGGTGTAACTTTGGCAATTTTTAATTGTTCTGGAAAGATTCCTTGTTTAATTGAGGCATTGAAAACTTTGAAAAGAACATCTTTTAATTGCTTAAAGCAATCTATTATCACATTTCCATCTATTTCGTCTGGTCCGCATGATTTATTCTTTTTAATAGATTTGAGCGCCTTTTCAAGTTCTTCAATTGATAAATCAGAGGATAACTTGGTATTAAAAGATAGATGTAACAGTGGGCTACAAATATATAATAGCCTCTACCTATCAGGCGCATCCAGGGAGCAAGAGAGGGTGTCAAACTACCATCTTTACCACCCAAAAACGCATATTTCGTCCATAGTAGAACGTTTTTTTTTTGTTAAATTAGTAATTTTTATATAAAAAAACTTAATGCAATCATTTTTTAGACAACCACCAAATATGATAAGTGTATTTTTATGTTAGGGTGGATACAGAGGTGGTGGTTTAGCACACCCTATTATTAAATATGTTTCATTCATATAAATATTAATAAATTTATCCAAAAAAAATCTAGTATTACATATGAAAATCATATTCCACTAAATTGCAACATATATTAGTATATATTGGTGAATACAGTGACTTATGGGGAGGGGCGTCCCCCTTTGCCCCCTTTCCTTATCTTACCTAAAAAAAATTGATTATTGAAAAAATGTGAATGTTTAAAAAAAATATGATTATTTACATAAAGAAAGAATGATATAAAAAGATTTACCATATTAACTAACAACTTTAAATAAAACTTTAAACTTATACATATGTGTGCTTCAATTAATAAATAAACGCAATAAAATATTAACAGTTTAATTTTTACAGCTACTTGTATGTAATAGTAAAATTTTATATCAACACCCTATTTATCAATCCCAAAAGAGGTTGGTGAACATTTTTTAAAATTATAACATGCAACCTTACCAGTTGTAGCAAGAGTGGACACAGCTAAAGATAAAAAAAAAATATTTAAACAGATTTAGAAGATTAAAAAACAAAAACATAAAATTTATCATTAAATCAAAACACTAGAATTTACTAACTTACCAGTGGTAGCAGGAGGGGGCACAACTAAAGATTACAAAAAAAAAAGAAAAGGTCAACAATATTTAATTTTCATCATCAATATTTGATCAACAACACTTATATTTGAACATCAAATCAAACTATCAAAATTTATATTCTTACCATAACTAGATGTTGAGATCACTAAATATTACAAAAAAAAAAGAAACTAATGCATTAAATTTATGCCAAAATAAGTTTATGAACATTTTTTAAAGTTATAACATGTAACCAGTGGTAGCAGAAGTAGCTATAACATGTAACCAGTGGTAGCAGAAGTAGACACAACTAAAGATAAGAAAAAAAAATCCTATAAAAATTATCATTAAATCAAAATACTAGAATTTACTAACTTACCAGTGGTAGCAGGAGGAAGCACAACTTAAGATTACAAAAAAAAAAAAAAAAAAAGTAATGCATTTTGATTTATGCCTAAAATAAGTTTATAAACATTCATGAAAGTGTAATTTACAAACTTACCGGTAGAAGTAGAGGAAGGCACACCTAAAGGTTAAAAAACAAATAATAACTTTAATAATTTTCAAATATAAATCCAATTAAACACTTCTAATTAACAGCCTTACCTCTGCTAGATGTCGAGTTCACTAAATATTACAAAGAAAAAAAAGGAAGAGATATATGTTTGTAATAATGAATTAATTTCATAAATTATTAAAGTTTAAATCTCAATAATTTGTTTAAATTTTCAAAAAAACAAATATCTAAATTTTATAATAAATGTTCATTTTACTTACTGCGTTCCACAACACTATCTATAAATGATTTAAATTTATTCAAAAAAAATTATTATATAAAGCATTTAAACACCATGCAGTCAACTTAAAAGTTTTTAAAGTTGTCAAAAAATTGAAAAAATAACAACATTATTGATGAAACTGTTTTCAATCTACTTAATAAGTGGTATAATTAAAAATAAACTTTTCTAACTCAATGTTTTCTCTAACTGATCTATATAAAAACAACAATACTAATATAAATAAAACAAATAAAACGACATCTCATTCGCAACAATATGAAATCAATAAAAAAAAACTATTGTCAGTAAAAAACAAAAATAAAAAATACTTTAAGTAAATACTGAAGTAGAAAGCAGTAAAGAAATTTGAAAGAAAAGGACAGTGTATAAAAATAGCATAGAAAAAAAACTATACTATAATCTAAATTTAAAAAAATAAAACGAAATGCTGAAAACTCAAAAAAATAACTAAACATAAGAATACTGGCTCATTCTTCGAAGCATTTTTGCATATAAACAAACAAATTAATAAAAAGATAATTAATAAAAAGATAATTTTATTTAAAGATCACAAGCCAAAATCAAAGCACTAACTAAGAGTTATTGACAGACTAAGCTAACTATCTGATACCTATCTTTTTACGAATAACTTTACTCATTTTATTTCTCAAAATATAATGAACTTGTTATATTTATCTAAATAGCAGTAAGCAACCCGTAATACGCGTTGTTAGTAAATAAAATTAAAAAAAAAAACCGCGTATAGAAAAGCCTAGAAACTACTTTAAAATAGAAAAGCCTAGAAAATGACGTAATTCGACTAATATTAAATTAGCGTATTCATATAATCAGATAAATCCTATACCTTTCTACGCCCCATTGTCTCTCAAATTCAAGTCCGAAAAGTCAAAATTAGGTACCAAAATAGAGATAGTGCTGCAAAAATTAAATCGATGAAATTTGGCATGTGCATCGAAAAAGTATAAACTTAAAGTAAAGAATAGGTTAGAAAAAATAAAGAGCATATCTTCGATATGTACTAAGTGAAAGAAGTACAGCTAATTTTTGAAAGACAATAAATCCACATAAAAAATTAAAAATTGTAATCAAAAAACATATCATATTAAAGTTTATTCATTCTAGTTTTAAAAAAATTTCTATGTTGATATATAATTCTAAAAAGAAACACAACAAAAGCTTCTTTCTCACTGACTAAATGTAGACTTCAAAAAACGTGGTACAGAATTTTAGCAAAAATCGGTACCACGTTTTTTGATAAAACAACAATTTATATATATATATATATATATATATATATATATATATATATATATATATATATATATATATATATATATATATATATATATATATATATAATATATTATTACATTTTCAACATTTAAAAACGTTATACATAGTATTAAAAGAAGGCTGAATTAATTTAAATTAATAGAAGTATCTTTATACATTTCAGTAACTAAAATCTTCTTTAAAATGTCACTTTTTATGTTTTATTTCCAGTTAGTTTTTATGTTTCATTTTATTTCTTAAATGTAAGTTACAACTTATTTAAAAATATTTCTTAAATTTATAGCATAATACAACTATATTACAAAATAATGCATATTTTAATATCCTAATAATAAAGATTTACTGGACAAAAGTATTATATTAAGTCTATAACATATTATAACTGTAAATATGATATTAGTCATAAACATATTAAAACTGACATTTGAGAAACTTTTGTATATTTTACTGTAAATAAAACTTGAAAATGTTAGCACATCTTAAAAATGCTTTAAAATAGTTATATATCTTAGAAAAGTTTGAAATTATATTTTTTATAACATAAACAATACAATAAAATAAAAATTGTATGCTGTTTTTAATTTGTTACAAATAAAAAAACATTACACTTAATTTAATTTAAAAGACATTGTCTCTTTATTTAATATTGTCAATGCAATATAATTTCTACGCTGCTGACCAAGTAAACGAAATTTCTTCAATTGCTGGAACGATTTCTTTGACATCTTCATCCTCGAAAATCGTTTAATGTTTTTGCAATATTGTGCAGTACAAAGTTCGCAGTGATACATATAGCAATCATCTTCGGCTTAATTTTTGCCTATAAAATTATCACACCACAGATACTGTTGAATCAACAGTAACTGTATAACAAGAGGGATGCGGAGTCCCAAAAAGGACTCCGGATATGAAAGGCACAAAAAGATTACTTCTTCCTTGTTTTTGATTTCCAGGAGCTCTAAAAATATTAATAAGTTTATGGACTACTAATAGGAAAAAAATTAAGACTTTTAGGTAAGAGGAACAATAATTTTTTGAACCCGGAGTCCTTCCCCGACGGGCATTTCTTTTTAAAAGTTACCCAGTAAGCACAAAGACGTTTAAAAGACGTTTTAAAGATGTCTTTAAGGAGGTCTAAAAGGCGCACTTGTAAACGTCTAGATCATAAGGCTAATAGACGTCTAAATGAAGACGTCTTTATAAAAACGCGTTATAGACGTATTTTAGACGTTTTTTTCAAGACGAATTTAAGTACATGACGTAACATTTTCGCGTAGTATGTGGTATATATTCATTATATTTATAAAATCATATATTGTTATAATTATGTAAATACAAAATATACATAGGAACCAGCAATCAAAATAATATTGCTGTAGTCACCACAAACGGTTGATGCCTCAAGGATAAAAATAATATATAACAGTAACAATTATATATCAACACAGGTATTTGAAACATTTATAACTTACCTTTAGATATAATAAAATTTGACACACGTTTGGTTAGCTAATTTTTGACCGCATACTTGAATTATAATATGGCTTGTGGGTGTATAAAAACTAAAAATACTGATATTTAACTTATATATTATTCTTACCATTTTCACTTATTATCATGATCAGTCAACTATCTATTAAAAAAGCAAAATAATTATTAATAAAAAAAAGATATATTAATATTATAGCAATTATTTTAGTGATTCCTGTGACAACAATTTTAGCAATTGTGTAAAAAAGTAATTTAATTTAAAGTAATTTACACTTAAAACTTAAACAAATTATTGAAAATAATAAAAACTATGTTTTTACTTTAAAGTAAAAACATAGTTTTTATTATTTTCAATAATTTGTTTAAGTTTTAAGTGTAAATTACTTTAAATTAAATTACTTTTTTTTCAAAGCTTTGAATATACGACATCTACTTAACGCGTAATGACAAAGCCGTCAAAAATAAGTCATAATGACATATTTATAAACAGGTCTCAGAAAAGACGTCTTTTAGCCTTGATCTAGACGTCTTTTAATGCGTCTTTTAGACTATTTATTATGCGTCTTTTAAACGTCTTTTTAAACTTTAAAAAGACGCGATTTTAAACGTCATTTTAAAATCGCATTTATTAAAGACGTCTAGAAGATGTCTTAAAAATAGATATCTTCTAGACGTTTTTTTAACGCTTAAATAAACGCCTTTCAAACGTCATTTTAAAAACGCCTTTATAAAAGACGTCTAGAAGATGTCTTGAAAATTGACGTCTTCTAGACGTCTTTTTATCTTTTAAAAAGACGCCTTTTAAACGTCATTTTAAAAACGCATTCATAAAAGACGTCTAAAAGATATCTTCAAAACGTCTATAAAAGTGCGTCTTTACCTAGACTAGTTTTAGACGTCTATAAGTGTCTAAGATGCGTCTTGTGCTTACTGGGTACGATCTAAATGTATTTTAAATGTCTTTTAAACGTCTTTTAAACATTAATGTTTAAAAGACGTTTAAAAGACATTTAAAACACATTTAGAACGTAACTTTTAAAAACAAATGCCCGTCGGGTCGTATAATGGCGGCAAGGACTCCGGGCTTAAAAACAACAAGTTTCAAGTCATTTAATCTCACCAATGTTTTACTTATAGCAAATCATAAGTCAACAAACATGTTTAGAGCTTCTGGACACTACAGACTTCGAAAAAGTAGAGATATAAAGCCGGAGTCCTTTTGGGACCCCGCATCCCTCCCAGCGGGCATTTGTTTTTAAAAGTTACGTTCTAAATGTACTTTAAATGTATTTTAAACGTCTTTTAAACATTCTTACGTAAAGAACGTTTAAAAGACGTTTAAAAAACGTTTAAAAGACATTTAGAAAGTAACTTTCAAAAACAAATGCCCGAAGGGCTGCTGTTGATTGAATCAAACACTTTTCATTATTAAGCTCTTCAGCAAAATCTCTATAGGGTTTATCAATTCTTGCATGGGTGCAATCAATAGCTCCTATTGTACAGGAATAGCCTCTTTCGTTTGCTCATTCCAGTTTTGCTCTTAAAATTTGTTCTTCCGTATGTGGGAAAACTATATACTGAAAAGTCTTAATCAAATTTTTTTTGAAGCGTCAAAGAGACAGTTTTTAAAAGAGTATTGCTAAAATATTATTTCAAAAAAATGATTGTGTCAAAAACGTGCTAGTATAATTATAAATAAATGCATAATGTAAAAATATATAGATATATACATTAATATTCAAAAAATAGTAAAATATATAGGTATTATAACAAAATAAATGTCCGATTATCAAAAAAAAAAAAAGCAACTATTATAGGTGCTCGTAAAATTAGAAGAAATTGCTTGCCGTTTTTTGAGTTGTAGTTTTTTTATTCACGCGCTTTTCTCATATGTGAGTAATCGCTAAACATTTGAGCAAAAGCACATGAGTAAAAGCTTTCGCGGAAAAAAAAGCAATTGCTCTAAATTTTTATTCACGTAAAGTTGAGCAATTACTCCAAAAACGCTGAGTAAAAGCAATTGCTCCTTTTTATTCACCCGGCCCATAAGCTTGAAGTAATTACCTTTAACGT